CCGAAGCAAGTATTCCCTGAGCATCACTGGGTGTGGACCCCAAACTAATAATTGAAAAAAAAACTACATCATGATTTTTTCGAGTATTCAATGATGCTTTACCATGATTTTTCTAGGGGCTGGCGTCATAGCACAGTGGGTAAGGCATTTTGCCTTGCACATGGCCAACCCGGGTTTGATTCCCAGGATCCCATATGGTCCTCCAAGCACCGCCTGGAGTAATTCCTGAGTGCAGAACCAGGAGTAACCCCTGAGCATTGCCAGGTGTGACCAAACAAAAAAAAAAAAAGAAAAAAAAAAGCAGAAATAAATATTTAAATAAATAAAATGGCTTCTGTTTGTTTTATACCACAGCCACTGGTGTTCTGTGTTGTGTGTCTGAAGAACAATAAGTAGTGCCACAACTCAAACCACGGTGGGCCACAGCACAGCAAGGCAAGTCCCTGAACCTCTGTGCTATTCTCCCATCTTGAAGCCTTAAGACTTTTTTTTTTTTTTTTATAATTTATTTATTTATTGAATCACTGTGGGAAAAGTTACAGAGCTTTCGGGTTTAGGTCTCAGTCATGTAGATACCAAACACATTTCCCTTTATCAATACTCATTTTTAACCCCGAACCCCAATAGACCCCCACCTCCCACCCCTCCCAATTCTTTGTGAGGCAGATGAGTTCTAGTTAATACTCTATCTACTTTGACTAGATAGATTATTTCGATAGAAGATGCACAATTATTGTTTAGAGTTTACGACCCCCCCCCCCCCAATCAGACATGCTGAAACAGCGTTGTGAAATGATTTGCTTTCTACAACTTGGTTTAAGAATAAAATGATGTCGCGCAGCCGCTATTGCGGCCGCGCGGTTTTGAATTTCTGCTATCTTACTTATTGACCCTGGAAGAATTTCTATTAAAAGTTAGCTAGTTAAGAGATTGGTTTCTGTGCCATGGAGTCGTGGCCGTGCCGGAGAGCCGCTCGTGGGGGGCAGCTGGCGACCTCGGTGGGGCGTGGGGGACGGCCCACAAAGCCCCCCTTCCCATGAGGTCCCCGCCGCTCCCCCGAGCCCGGCTCAAACCCGCTTTCCACAAGGCTCCCGTGCGGCCGCCATCTTTCTTTCCAGAGAGGAGCGGGCGGGCTGGTCAACGCCCTTCCCCCTCCGGGCAGGCTTGGTGGCGCGGATCAACACAAGTCCATTTGCTTTTCTGCTCCAAGCAGCTGGTTCTCTGTGCTAAGTCCTTGTACCTCCGGGGCCGTGGCCGTGCCGGAGAGCCGCTCGTGGGGGGCAGCTGGCGACCTCGGTGGGGCGTGGGGGACGGCCCACAAAGCCCCCCTTCCCATGAGGTCCCCGCCGCTCCCCCGAGCCCGGCTCAAACCCGCTTTCCACAAGGCTCCCGTGCGGCCGCCATCTTTCTTTCCAGAGAGGAGCGGGCGGGCTGGTCAACGCCCTTCCCCCTCCGGGCAGGCTTGGTGGCGCGGATCAACACAAGTCCATTTGCTTTTCTGCTCCAAGCGGCTGGTTCTCTGTGCTAAGTCCTTGTGCCTCCGGGGCCGTGGCCGTGCCGGAGAGCCGCTCGTGGGGGGCAGCTGGCGACCTCGGTGGGGCGTGGGGGACGGCCCACAAAGCCCCCCTTCCCATGAGGTCCCCGCCGCTCCCCCGAGCCCGGCTCAAACCCGCTTTCCACAAGGCTCCCGTGCGGCCGCCATCTTTCTTTCCAGAGAGGAGCGGGCGGGCTGGTCAACGCCCTTCCCCCTCCGGGCAGGCTTGGTGGCGCGGATCAACACAAGTCCATTTGCTTTTCTGCTCCAAGCGGAAGCCTTAAGACTTTTTAAAGAAGATCAACTTAGTGAGATTATTAGCAAGATAACTGGCTAATGAATAGTATTTGCACATGTTCTGTTGGCAATCTTTTGATTAATCATTCTAAGAATCTCTAGTAGATATTAAATTAACAGTTCTTATATTCATATTACCTGTCTGAGATTACATATGAAGCACAATTTTATACATATGCATAATTTTCATGTAATCTATTTCTACTTGGACTGGAGCGACAGCGCAGCAGGTGGGGTGTTTGCCTTGCATGTGGCCACCCTGGTTCAATTCCTCCATCCTTCCTGAAGAGCCCGGCAAGCTGCCGAGAGAGTATCCTGCCCTCAGCTCCTCGTGGTATATTCGATATGCCAAAAACAGTAACAAGTCTCACAATGGAGATGTTACTAGTGCCTGATGGAGTAAATCGATGAACAACAAGAGGACCGTGCTACAGTGCTATTTCTAATTACATTATTTAAAATATTTAAGTGACTAATATTAATTCTTAGACTGAAAATATGCTAAGTATTTAAAAGTGTACCTTTGTAAGTACACAAGTCTTTATCATTATTTCTTAAGTTCTAAAAACATAAAACAGAGTTCCTAACGAAGATTAGTTATTTAAATTGTGATCCCTGTAGTCCATCTGGCTCTGTGCTCAAAATATAATTGTTGCAAAATATAAAAGTCAAATTCTAAATTTTCCTTTCTAATAAGTTTAACTGAAGGAAACTCAGTGAACTTTAAATTTAGCAAGATTACTTCAAATTCCCAATGAAATCAAAATATTCATTGCATAATACCACATAGAAAACAGACCCCCTTAGCAGAACATCTTCTCATTAAGTACAAAGAAAAGAGCCATGAACATAACTAGAACCTTCAAAATGTATATTTTGTTCATTTAAGAAATGACCAAAATTTTTTAAATCAAAACTGTTCCTCTGTGTTTAACCAAAAAGATAATAATCACTGCTCAATAGATCTCCAATTTTGTGAGGATACAAAAAAAATTTAAGCCGGGCCTACTTACTACTCTTTATCTTTAGCACAGAGTAGAAGCCAACAGAACAGGCAGGAGCTGTGTTTTCATGAGGACTGTTTTTCATATCAGTAATTTAACTTGAATAAGGAATGAAACGTAAGAAAATATGATTTGCATTACATCATTTTCAAATACTGTAATTTAATCTGCAACACCACAGCCTGAACAATGACATCAACTAATAACCTGCACCAAGAAATCTCTTTCTTCAGAGAGCTTAAGTAACTTTCCCAGCCTGAGAATGCAAAGACTGAAACCGGAATTCAAAGATCCTGGCCATAGATGTAGCTCAGGCAGCACTTGACCTGCAGTGAAGGCCTGGGTCAGTCTGCTGGCACGGCAGGGCCCTAAGGTGACCTCGCGTGCCCTGGCCGTCTTCAGGGGCTGGCAGGAGCACCCAGTCCTCCAGCAATGCCACAGGAAAGACTTTTCCCACTAAATAAAATTTTTAAATGAAAAGTTCAGTCTTTCTGACACAAGAAAACCTATTCCCTTTATTACAAGACCTTAGCACTTTACCTCAAGAATGATCAGTGTTTAATGTAAAGAAGCATATGAAATACTTTACTATAAAATGTTATACTCATTTTACTACATAATTTCAAAGAAATTATTTTTTTCATGGAGAATCAGATAAGAGAAAAATGCAATTTTATGTGGCCATAAAAGCATTTCCTTTTAACTCAGCTTCAATTTTTCCACCAAGAATCTTTTTCTAAGAGCATTATCAGGATAAGGAATGTGGTATAGAGACACATGTTTTGCACATGTTAGACAGAGTTCAATTCCCAGGCTATAAAATAAATAAAAGAATGAGCATTATCTCCCTTAAAACTTTTCAAAACTTATACTAATATGAAATGAATTAGTTAAATTTTCTAAGCTCTAAGTATCAACAAAAGAGCCCTTTATTTTAGGGATACAGTTAAAAAGCAGTCCTGTTTTATTTTTTTTTTAAATAACTAAATTCTCGGGACCACCTCCACATACTTTAGAATATTTTATTTTCCAACATTGATAATTCTACTAATTCCTCCCCAGTAACTTGTTCTGTTAACTTGTACTATGTGTCTGGCAATACAGAATTAATGAATCTAGAATGTTATTCAGCCACGAAAAGAAATTAAATTCTGACACGTTACAATATGAAGGAATCCTAAAACATTTTGCTAAGTGTCAGACCACACACTGCAATTCCATTCATGTTAAGTGTCGTGAACAGACAGGACAAATCAAAACTCCGGAGGACGGGACTGCAGGGAGGAGGCAGTGAGAAAAGGTGCATGGAGACGCAGGGTTCCCAGGAGGGCACAATAAAACAGGTTCCAGATTAATCATTATGACTGCACAACTTTGTAAATACACTTAAGAAACACTTCATGGCTCACTTTAAAGTAGAAAATCATAATTTATGTGAGTTTCACCTTATTTTATTGAATTACACCTCAATGAAAGGAAATTATCCAGTTTTAAATGAGTAGATGATACACCTAGGTGTGAATGAGTTACACACACATGTGTTCAAAACTGTGTAATCACCAAGATTATCTGCCTCAATTTCCTGGGTCCCATTTTCCCCCATATTCGAGAAAGAACCTATTTCACAAGCCTGTATCTCCCTGAACATTAAAAACTCCTGTCTATCATTATCCAGGAGAATCCAAAGCACAATCCCAAACTAGGGCACCATACAGTGAGCAACTAAAATTTTTTTTTCAATTTTTTTCACAATCAGAATTTAAAACATACATCACATGCTAATGTGAAATTTTAAAAGTCCAAACGCCACATACAAACATGTCTAGCCATATAATCCATTTGTAAGATCCCTGTTAGAGAGCGTTCTTGCTCCCTAACACAATATTTTCCACTTCATCTCCTTCCCAACCTTTTTCTGATGTTGGTCCTCTCTGACCCTTTTCCCTCCAGTGTCACCCCTACCTCTGGTCTACTTGTTTTCTCCCCATTTACACAGTTTTCACCTGTGATCCCCCTAGAGTGTCCTGGGACCTCAGGAGGCCATATGGCTACCAATGGAGAAAGCTCTAAAGCCCCAAAGCAAAATCAGCAAAAGAAAATTCGTAAGGTGAGTTTGAAGGAATCAAAGAATCTGAGACAAAAGACACAGGATGAACAGTACTTACTAGTTTGTTTTCCTGCATGTATATCCTTTGCAATTTCAGGCAACCCTTAGCAATGACGATCATGCCTTCATCCGAGATCTTGTAGCACTGGCCGAAATGAATGTCTTTGAGTTCTCTGCATTTGGAGCCCAGCTGTGAACAGAGAGACCTGGATGAGTGCGCAGATACTGAAAGTAACTCATCTTTAGTGGGATCCTAGAATTTTTTGAAGTTAATAACTTTTAAAAATTACCTTTAAAGTACAGCATAAGGAATTAGAATTTAGAGAAGCACTGCATAAATTTTTCCACCTTCTGGTCTACTTTCCTGGTTCCAACACCTTGGTGCTGTATGTCCATTTGCAAGCCTAGAAAAACTGTTTCTCCAGAGTCTTTCTATCAACTACAATGTTATAATAGTAGTAACAAAATTTCAAGTAATAAAACAAAAGTTCAAGAAGTGAGACAAAGGAGACAGAGAATATTTAGTTCATGAGATTCAGATTCCTCAATGAAAAATTTGTCCCCACTGGCTCATTTACTCTATGGAAAAGAAAAAATCATAATGTAGAAATGTTAATTAATTTTATTAGACACTTACAAGTTACACTAGAAACAAAAACTAGAGATTATCTGAATGAAATCTAAAATCTAAACTCTAACTTTAAATAGCTACTAAACAGGTATAATGTTCCCATTAAAAAAAAACACTTAATATAACAAAAAACAAATCATATACATTTCTTTTCAAAATCTATAGCAGGGTTAAAGAACAAAGCAAGCTATGAATGAACATTGCTTTATGAGCATCATATTTGAAAAGAGTCATCTTAGAAATAAAATTAAGCTTACCTTAGTAACAACCTATATTCCAATATTATTTCCTTAAAGGTTACATTAAACAAAGTAAAATTCAGTCCTTTTAAAAACATGGAAGTACCAGAACTTCTGTATTCACTCAAAGAGTGAATTAGTACTAAAAAATCTTCTTGAAGAGCTACTCAGCACAAATGAAAATTTTTTTATAAAACATGCACCGAAAATGTGTGCCAGCACTTCAAGTATAAACTGAATTTGTATAAAGGAATGGACATGTGGCAAAACCAGCACACTAGAACACTAATTACACAACCAAGGTATGGGCATATTAGATATTCACCGTATAATTTTTTAAATGTTCCATATATTTATTTTTTTATAATTGGTAGTTGGGAATAATAAGCTAAAGTATCTGGTAAAAGGTAGCTAGAAGGAACTGACAGATCGGCTTTTTTTTTCCTTTCTTTTGTTCTGTTTTGGGTCTGGGGGACACTACCTGCTGCGCTCAGGAACCCTGCAGATGCTGGCCATCACACCCCCCACTCCAAGGCCCTTGCAGGAAAAGTGCTCTACCTTCGCCCCTCTCTCTCTCCAGTCCCCAGAAGCACTTTAATAAGCTAGGAAATGACTTGGAGGAGAGATTACAATGTTTTTATAAAACTGTCATTAGTTTTTAAACTGTAGGTAAATACTTGACAAATAGTGAAAAAAGTTAAGATTGTGTGATATAATCTAGCTAATTTTTTTTACAAAAATTTTGTAACGTAATAGACACGCACAGATAAAAAAGATACAGAAATGCCAACAGGATGTTAAAGTGGTTATTTTCTTTTTTTTTAAAGAAAAAAACACTTTGGGAACTTTTGAGGGTCACACCCAGTGATGCTCAGGGCTCTACATGCAGGAATTACTCCTAGTGCTGCAAACAGAGGGAGCCATATAGCACAGCTCCCCATGCTTCAGCAAATTCAGAATTTCTACACAGAATGAAAAGGGAAGATGAAAACAGGACCCACAGGGGAGAGTCACAGAAGAGCAGTGCATGAGGAAGAGCATGCCCATCTTCATCTAAACTCTGCTCCACACAGTGCGCACCCTGGCCTCTCCTCATGCCAAAACCACATGGCACACACGCTGGCCACTGCCGCTACCGTATGGCCTGACCAACCGGAGACAGCGTGGGGCTGTGCGAGGCAGGACACAGGGCTGGGGTGGGAGTGCCAAGAAGGCGTGAGCGAGTGCACATGGGGTGGAACAGTTCCACAAAGCAGCCAAGCTCTCAGACACGCTTCATCCGTTCATCCACACTCATGAGGAAAAACACATCCATGAAAGCCAAATTATGATAGCACTGTAGCACTGTCCTCCCGTTATTCATCGATTTGCTCAAGCGGGTCCAGTAACGTCTCCATTGTGAGACTTGTTGTTACTGTGTTTGGTATATCCAATACTTTCGACAAGTATATATCTTTCGGATATATTATGCATATTAGAATATTGAATATTTCAGAATTATGTATATTAAAGTATTGTGCAGACTTGGAAAAAAGACAGAATTCATAAAAAGAAGTAAGGACCGTGAAAGGCATAAAATTTGGTTTATACAGAAAGAAAAAGAACAGGGAATTCTGAAGGCAATTACTGCCAGCCTCTAATTCCAGGGGTCAGGAGGTGGGCAGAGCAAGAGTGGACAGACTGGAGAGACTGCTAGGTCTGCAACAACCTCTAAGCACAGAAGCTGGGAGTCTCCCCAAACCCACCCCCAAACAGGAATTCTCTGTTTTCACTGGAATAATTTTTATGATAAAGGAAAAAGCACCTTAGGAAAAACATACACTTCCATTGACAATGAAGGCAGACAACTGAAAACATACCTGAGTCCCTGGGATAAAAACAAGATGGGGGATGGGGGTGAGACAGTGTAGGGGGCAGGGCGCTGGCTGTGCACATCACCAGCCTGGCACTAGGGCTTCAGGCACTGCCAGAAGTGATCCCTGAACACTGAACAGGAAGAAACCAAGCCCCCAAACAAGATTACGTCTTCCAATGTCACATGAAATTTGCTATTAACAATACCGAGGCATTAAATACTAAAATATTTTAAAATAAAAGATGTGCTGCCTTCCAAAGAGGGAAGCTGTTCTCTCTACTTTGCATTCTTAATCTGTCACTATTTAAAATTAAAACATACAGGCTAAAGGAGACTGTGAAAAATCCCAATCCAGGGTCCAGAGAAGTAGTCCAGCTGGGTCAATTCCCGGCACCCCATATGATCCCCAGAGCCCACCGGAAGTGATCCTTGAGCATAGAGCCTGGAGTAAGTCCTGAGCACTGCTGGGTATGGCCCAATCAAAAATTTTGTTTTCTTTAACAGAAAGAAAAATCTCAGTCCGTATCTCTTCATAACGTCATCCAACTCTATTAACTGTGTTTATAAAACAATTATAAATGCTCAGACGAGCCTCATGTGTGAAGGAACTGGCAGAGGAACTCAGGTGTGCAGGAACTAGGGCTGAGATCTCCAAGCCTGCTCAGATCGGGCCTGGGCCTCCTCCACCCAGATCCCCCATCTTCTAGTAGCTAGACAGTTACACCCACCAACTGCCATGTAACCCCATCAACGGCCAAGATTCAGAGACTATAAAACCAACCTCTCAGTAGCACACAATCGCAATTGTGGCCACACAACCTCTCATTCTCTAGTTCTTGCTTTCAGAGAACCTGGCAGGCTATCAAGTGTATTCTGCCCGCATATATGCCTGACTGGGAACACCTGTAAAGGTGATTAGAGGCTGCCCTAAAAGCCTCCATCCCTCTCGGAGAGCCCAGTAAGCTACCGAGAGTATCCCGCCTGCACGGCAGAACCTGGCAAGCTACCCATTGCATACTCGATATGCCAAAAACAGTAACAATGATGGTTCTGATTCCCCTGACTCTGAAAGAGCCCCCATTATGCCATCAAGCTACACTAGCACATGACAGGGACGAATAGAGACATTATTGGCGCCCACTTGAGCAAATTGATGAACAATGGGATGATAGTGATAAAACAAAAATTGTACTGCTCCAACTGGCCCACACCTGGCAGTCTGCTCTGTCAGAGCCTCTTCTGCATCACTCCAGCAGATGCTCACAGCGACAGGGACAGAGCTCTGGGCTCTGCAGTCCCACGCAGGGTCCCACAGGCTGCCACACAGGCCTGTTCTGTACCTCTTCCAGACCCCTGATGCATAAGCTCCCCCCCCAGGAGTATAATAACTACCAAATGATGTAAAAGAGACCCCAATAAAATGACCATGATAAAATGTTTATTTTTTAAAAGACTTTTATGTATCACTGTGAGACAGACCCTTACCAAACTGTTTATGATTAGGTTTCAGTCATACAGTAGTCCAATACCCATCCCACCACTAGTGTACATTTCCGAGCACCAGTGTCCACAGGTTCGATCACCCCCCACAACCTGGCTCAAAGTCAGGCACTTTACTTCTCTCCTCTCTCTCTCTCTCTCGCTCTCTCGCTCTCTCGCTCTCGCTCTCCCCCTCTCTCCCTCCCTCCTTCTTTCCTTCCCTCCCTCTTCCTTTCCCTCCCTCCCTCTCTCTCCTTTTGGGCATTGTTGTTTGCAGTACAGATACTGAAAGGTTATCATGTATACCCCTTCACCCACTCTTAACACTCCGTTCTTGCCCAGTGTGATCATTTCCAGCTATCACTGTCATATTGGCCCCTTGTCTATGTTTCTATCCACACTTTCTTTCGGTGGCTTTCCCAAGTGCGGCTCTCAGTTCCTTCCTTTTTTCCTTCTAAGCAGCACTGCTTCCTGTTTATGAATTATGATTCAAAATAAGGTTGGGATAAGGTTTGTCCTGCGGTTTGAATGCATTTTCCCACATCCAAGTAGGTTTTTCTCATGCTGCTCTCAGAACATTCTCTGGACTCAAACTCTGTCCTTCTCTTCTTCCCAGTTGTTTCATTGTCTCATCTTATCTGTGTTTTGGCTTCTTAACTGTTACCAAAGCTTTACACTTTTTTTTTTCCCTTTGCAAATTAACACTTCCAGTACAGGTCTAGTAACCATAACTAAATTCCATTCGTTTCTTTTTGCCAGAGAGAGCCTTTATTTCTCCAATAAAGGTATTCTAGGATGAAACTTCTTTTATCTTTTAGAATACAGGTTGCTCAGAAATCAAGCAGGTAGCACATGGGATGGTGCTGGGCCTCCAAGGGCCCCACTGAGGTGATGGTTCCGTGGGTACCTCGGATTGTCTAAGCAGGAGGAAGGCAGGGACAAGGCCAGTAAGGGAACAAGCACAGGAGGCACCAACCGGCCACTGA